CAATCAGGGAGCACTGAAATATATAAAGCAACAATGAACAGTAATAAAGGAAGAAACAGACAAGAACACAATCATAGCTGGGAACCTTAATACTCCATTGACAAGTCTAGACAGATCATCAAAACAGAAATCAAGAAATAGCAGCCTTAAATGACACTTAGACCAAATGGACATAATTGACTTTAGAGAGCCTTTCATCCCAAAACATCAGATTATACATTCTTATCCCAGTACACAAGGAACATTCTCTAGAATAGGCACAGTTTGAGTCACTAAACTAGCCTCAACAAATTCAAAAAGACTGAAATTATACCAAGCATATTCTCAGATCACAATGGTTTGAAATCAGAAGTCAAATGCAACAAAAATAAAACACACACACACAAATATGTGGAGATCAAACAACACACTACTAAAAAATGACTTGATCAAAGAAGAAATAAAGGGTGAGGTCAAAAGATATATATAGACAAATGAGAATAACTATATCACATACAAAAACTTCTAGAGTGCAGCAAAAGCAGTAATAAGAGGGATATTTATATCATTGCAGGCCTATTTCAGTAAACAACCTAAGATTACATCTTAAAGAATTAGATAAAGAAGAACAAAAGCAACCCAAAGTTAGCAGATGAAAAGAAATAATAAACATTAGAGTAGAATTGAACAAAATAGAGAAAAAGACTATATAAAAAGATTAACACAACAAAGAGCTGGTTCTTTGGGAAAAAATTAATAAAATTGACAAACCTCTGGCTATACTAAGGGAAAAAAAGACTAGTGTAAACAAAATCAGGAATGAAAGAGAAGTTACCACAGATATCACACAGATGCAAAGGATCACACTAAAATGTTACGAATGCCTATACGCCATCAAATTCAATAACCTGGGGAAAATGAGTAAGTTCCTATAAATATATAACCTTCCTAGACTGAATCATGAAGAAATGCAAAACCTAAATAGATTGATAAACAGTGAGGAAATTGAAACCATCAAAACCTAACAGTAAAAGTTCAGGACCAAATGGCTTCACTAGGGAATTTAACCAAACATTCAATGAAAATTTGATACCTATCTTTCTCAAACTTTTACAAAAAATTGAAGAAGAGGCAATACTTCCTAACACATTTTATGAGGCCAATATAACCCTGGTACCAAAACCTGGCTAGGATGACACTAAAAAAGAAAACTATGGACCAATATCTCTGATGAATACAGATGTAAAATTCCCAAACAAAATACTAGCAAATCAAATACAACAATACATTAAAAAAAAAACAACACATCGCAATCAGTGGGGTTCATTCCAGGGCACAAAGATAGTTCAACATACACAAATTGACCAAGGTAATATACCATATTAGTAAGAGAAACCTAAATATCATATGATCTTATCAATAGATGCAAAAAAGCATTTGATAATACACATCCCTTTTTTATTAAAACACACAATGAAATAGGAATAGAAGGAAAGTACTTTAACATAATAAAGGCCATGTACAACAAATCCTCAGCTATGATCACACTCAATGGTGAAAAACTGAAAGCATTTCCTCTAAAATCAGAAACAAGACAAGGAGGCCCATTCCTACCACTCTTATTTAACCTAGCCCTAGAAGTTCTAGCCAGAGCAATCAGGCAAGAAGAAGAAATAAAAAGCATTCAAATTGGGAAGGAAGAAGTGAAAGTGTCATTTTTTGCAGATGACATGATTCTGTACATAGAAAGCCCTACAGACTCCACCCAAAAACTATTAGGAAAAAATAAATACAGTAAAGTTGCAGGATACAAAATCAGTGTACTAAAATTCATTGTTTTTCTATTGGATTAGCCAAAAAGTTTTTTTTTTTCTGTATGATGGCTCTAGTAGTGTTTAGTTGTCTTTAACTTCATTTGAAACAATTTTGTTAGACCATACTGTGACAGCTGCCATGTCTGCATGCATTTTTTAAAAAACTTACCAAATTGGTGAAATTCTGTGCAGCCATTTTAATATTGAAGATGGAAGAAAATATGCAACATTTTGGCATATTATGCTTTATTACTTCAAGAAAGGTAAAGATGCAACTGAAACGCAAAAATAGACTTATGCAGTAAGTGGAGAAGTTGCTGTGACTGATCAAACATGTCAAAAGTGGTCTGCAAAGCTTCTTGGTACTATTGACATTTTTGCCACATAATTCTTTGCTGTAGGGCTGTCTTATGCATTGGAAGATGTTAAGCAGTACCCCTGACCTCTACCCACTAGAAACCAATAGGAGACAGCTGACATACTCAAAATATCCAAATCAATAAAGTTATTAGTGAAAATGAATAATGTGTCTTTTATTTTATGGAAAAAATTAAATGGACTTATTTTATGGAAAAACTAAAATGGCCAAAATGGGCAACCCAATATATACTAACAGTGAAATTTCAGAAAAGTAGATGAAAACAATTCCTTTTGCAATTGCATCCAAGAGAATAAAATACCTAGGAATAAACTTAACAAAGGATGTGAAGGATCTATATACTGAAAACCTACAAACCATTATTAAAGAGCTTGAAAAAGATACAATGAAATAGAAAGATAGTCCATGTTTATGGACTGGAAGAATCAACATAGTTAAGAAGGTCATCATTACCCAAAACAATATAGAAGTATAATGCCATTGCCATCAAAATCCCAATGTTATTCATTAAAGAAACTGAGCAAAAAAATTGTCAAATTTGTATGGGACCACAAAAGACCCCAAAAAGCCAAAGCAATCTCAAGAAAAAAAGAATGAAGGCATAGGTATCATAGTACCTGACTTCAAGTTACACTACAAAGCTATGATATCAAAACAGCATGGTGTTGGCAGAAGATCAGACACCCAGACCAATGGAACAGAACTGAGAACCCAGAAATAAAAGCACATGTATATGGGTGTGGTCGACGTCGGTGCGTGGTGAACCCTGGGTGAGTGTCTGAGTGGCGGAGCTCGCGCAAATCAGGACGCACAGGGGATGCAAATGCGGGTAATCAAGAGCAAATGCATGCTCAGGCTTTATTAGCAGTGATATTTATAAAAATATATCTGGCAAGTATTCCTAAGTATATTGAATTTTAGCACAGCTGCACCTATTCAAAATGGCTCCTAACAAGTTTACATATTTGTAGAGTACCCTTATATCTTTGTTCTTTTCCCAAGACTCATTTTCCCAAAACTCAACTCCTGGTGTGAGATAATGGCTCTTATCCTACTAGCTCGGGGGAGTAATACAAGCCAGGAGTCCGTTCTCAGAAAGCCTTCTTTCTGACGCCGCCTGGTTTGCCAGGGCTGACACAGACTTCCAGCCACTTGTCTTTACTCAACCCGAGCCTCAGGAGTCCGCACATTATCCCCACATATGGGCAAATAATTTTTGATAAAGGAGCCAAAAACATACAATGGAGAAAAGAAAGCCTCTTCAATAAATGGTGCTGGGGGAATTGGAAGGTTGCATGCAAAGGAATGAAAAGTACATTAATTTGTCTCCATGTACAAAAATCAATTCAAAATGGATCAAAGACCTAAATATAAGATCTGAAACAATAAAGTACATAGAAGGGAACACAGGTACTAAACTTACAGACTTCAATTGTAGAGGACATTTTATGAATTTGACCCCAAATGCAAGGGAAGTAAAGGCAAAAATAAATGACTAGGACTGTATCAAACCCAAAAGCTTCTGCACAGCAAAAGAAACTGCTAACAACAAAACAAAAAGGCCACCAACCAAATGGGAGATGATATGTAAACAACACTTCTAACAAGGGGTTAATAACCAAAATATATAAAAAACTCATATAACTCAACACCAAACAATCTAATTTAAAAAATGGGTAGTGGACCTGAACAGACACCTCTCCAAAGAAGATAAACAGCCAACAGGTATATGAAAAGATGTTCAACTTCACTAGCTATCAGGGAAAAGCAAAACAAAAAGCAAAAAGCAAAAGTCTATCATCTCACACCTGTTAAAATGGCTATTATCAACAAGACAGGTAATAACAAGTGTTGGAAAAGTTGTAGAGAAAAATGAACCCTCCTTCACCTCTGGTGAGAATGTAGACTGGTACGGCTACTATGAAAAACAGTATGGTGGTTCCTTAAAAAAACTAAAAATAGAGTTACCATATGACCCAGCAATCCCCCTTTTGGGTATATACCAGAAAAACTCAAACATTTATTTGCAGATTTACACACCCCTACATGGAGACAACCAGTGTCCTTCAACAGAAATTGGATAAAGATGATACAGTACATATATACTATGGAATACTACTCAGCCATAAGAAAAGATGAAATACTGCTATTTGCAACTTTGAGAATATTATGCTGCCCTGGCAGGTGTGGCCCAGTTAGATGGAGCATCATCCCATGCACAGAAATGTTGCAAGTTCAATTCCCAGTCAGGGCATGTAGGTAGGTTGCAAGTTCAGACCCTGATCGGGGTATGTACAGGAGGCAACTGACTGGTTTCTCCCACACATCAGTGCCTCCCTCCCCCCCGCCCCCCTCTCTCTCTCTCAGTGAAAGAATGTATTCTTCTTGGGTGAGGATTGAAAAAAGGGAGATTATGCTAAGTCAGTCAGAAAAGCTAAGAATCTCATAATTTTACTCATATGTGGGATATAAAACTGAAATTCATAGACACAGAAAACAGTATGGTAGTTACCAGAGGGGAAAGGGTTGGGGGAATAGTAAAGGGTAAAGGGGGCCAAATACATGGTGAGGGAAGATGACTTGACTTTGAAGGGTGGGCACACAATGTGATATACAAACCATGTATCACAGAAATGTACACTTGAAACCTCTATGACCCTATTAACTAATGTCACCCCAATAAATTGTTTTAAAAATTATACTTATTTTTTGTCAGATTGGCAATAAATTCATTTTTTGGTGTGCGGCAGAATTTTAGTAATTAATTTAGGTGCATCATGAGATGAAAAAAGTTGAAAATCACTGTCTCAAAGTATTTTCTTTCTTAACAGGGGAGAGCACGACAGTCACCTGCTACCACCAACTATGCATTCCAGTTTCCCACATTAGTGGAAATTGCAGGGGTCAGCACATCCACAGTACAATGGACAAGTCTCGCCCTGGGAAAACCACTTTTGTGATCATGGTACCATGGTACCTTCCCTACCAGGTAAGTATATTAAGTGTTTCCTTGAGGACCCTTGTAAGGTCAATCTCTGAGATTTATATACTTAAAAATATTTTTAAATGTTATGATCTTCTAATGCTAATTTGGCTGAAAATTTTAATCTTTTTTCTTTGATACTTATATTCAATAATGCTTTGGAGAAATCTTACGGCAATTCAATTCATTCCTTTCAGAAAAATCTTACCTGTAAACTTTTAAACTATTCTTATTCTTTGAAATTTTAAAATTTCACTATAACTAACACTACTCTCTATATTCATACTATGCTTGAGTTTTCTATATAGTAACTAACACTCATATTTTCTCTCTCCCCCCACTAGAATAGAATAAAGTCTTAGTTTTGTTCACTATTGTATACGTCACACCTCGAAGTCTGAAACAAAACAAGGATCAATAAATACAGATTGAATTACGGTTTTCTATTCTGTAAGCTTTGCCCATTAAATTCATAACTCAAGAAAATTCACAAAAACATGAAACCAAATTCTTAAACTTTCATACTATACCTTGAATCTTAGTGTTTTGTTTCTTATGTTCTGATAAACTTGGCAGGACAAAGGCCTTTTTGCTCTTGAGACTTCTTTTTAAGTACTTAATTTTTTAAAAAAATATTCCATTGATTTTGCTGTTACAGTTGTTTCTATTTTTCTCCCTTTGTCCCCCTTCACCCAGCACCCTCCACTCCCTCAGGCAATCCCCACATCATTGTTCATGACAACGGGTCATGGGTGTAAGTTCTTTGGCTACTCCATTTCCTATACTATACATTACATCCCACAGCTGTTCTGTAACTGCCTATTTGTACTTCTTAAAACCCTCACCTCACATCCACCTCCTGTCTGGCAACCATCAAAATGCTCTCCTTATCCATGATTCTATCTCTGTTCTTTTTCAGTACTTGATTTTAAGATATCTCCCCTTTTGGCTTGTTTATTCTTTAGCTTTACAAAACTTAAAGGGCCTCTGCCAAGGTCGGGGATAGGGTAGAAGTAGAGAGTAAAGGGACATGATACAACCCTCCTCCCGTATCTAAAAAAGATCCCTGACCATATCCCAGGTTTATTCTAGATGTAGGGAGAATAAACACAACCTCTATACACAGACTGACACCACTGGATTTCACTAATCCACACCACCAATTATCCTGCCTTCTTCCTTACCATGAACCAAACTTCTCACATCTCAATTGTATCTGCCTATAACTCTCAGAAACTTAATGATCCCAATGGAATACTTTTAAAAATACTATACCTGATTCCATATCCTGGCGATTGCAAATAACACTGCAATGAACATAGGATGTTCATTCATAGAATGCATTCTTTTAAATAGTGTTTCAGGTTTCTTAGGATAAATTCTCACAAATAGCTTATTTCTGTAGCGGCTGCACTAATCTGCATTCCCACCAACAGTGCAAAAGTGTTCCCCTTCCTCACAGATGAGTGGATAAAACAACTATGGGATGTTTACACAGTGGAATTCTACTCAGCCATAAAAAAGAAGAAAATTCTACCCTTTGCAACAACATTATGCTAAGTGAAAAATGCCTGTCAGAGAAAGACAAATACCATATGATTTCACTCATATGTGAAATCTAAGGAACAAATTGAACTAATAAGCTACACAGAGACAGACTAATAGAAAGCAGGCTGTTAGCTCTGGGAGTGGGACAGGGTAAGGGGGTAGAGAGATCAAACAAGAAGGAAAAGGGTTCATGAACATGGACAATAGTGTGGTGATTTCGGGGGTGGGGGGCAGGGAACAGAGTATAAGGGGGACAAATGGTAATGAAAAAATACAATAAAAATAAATTAGAAAAAATAAAATACCACATCTGAAAGCACAATTTCACATTAACTATGAACTGCCATCTTTTATGCAAATGGCATCTTGCTGATAGCAACGTGACAAATTACATACAAAGACTGTCTACTTCTAAAATTATTAAAACAGTAAAAGGATAACAATCTGCTGTAGCACCAGAATATATTGGTAGGTGATTTTTTAAATAAACTGGTAAGAATTAAGATGATTAAAAGTTTTTACTCCCTCAAAAAAAAAACATTTTGCACAATATTTTGATAGTGTGCAAATAACCCAAATACAAATAAGCAAGTGTGTACAAAATAATTTATTACAGCATTATATAGGTTGACATCGTTTTACAGTGAGTGTTTCTCAACAATTATGAATCTAAAATACCTTTGGGTGAAAGAAAATCATTTCAATTAGAACTGTTTTTCTAAATAAAATCTTTTTGAATTTATATTTGCCTTAAAGCATTAATATTACACATATTTACACAGTTCTGAAAGAAGCATATCGAATGATGCCATTATTGTTTTCTATACAAGATAGAAAACGCTATCCCTCCCCCCAAAATTGCCCAATATTATGTTTTAATAATTAAACCAGTAAGAGTTTAAATTCCCATTCTGTTGATTTAAAAACATATTTAATAGTCACTATATGACTTTTAAGAATAAGAATGCTTCATTATAATTTGTGTTCTGCCTAGTTATACTCCCTTGATACCACTCAGATATAAACTATTTATTAACACGCAAGGCAATTTAGCCAAGAAAGCATAATTCTTGCCTATGGGTCTTTAAAACTAATCTAGGAAAAAAAAAAGACTAATCTGGAGATAGAAATTTACCAGTGAATTTCAGTGATTAAAAGGCAAACCAATACCCACATTCTAAAATCAATAGAAATTATCATTTTTATGGATATTAAAAAGAAAATGAGAAATCGGGAAAAATTAAGGTAGACAAAAACAGCAAACTAAATTTTGAAATAAACCTCAATATTGCCAAAAGGAGTTCCATATTGTTTTTTTACATATATTTAACACTTTAAAAGAGATTTACTTTAATTAAAAAGGAAGTAAATAAACAATAATAAAACAAACCAATAAGGGATTGAAACTCAGATTCTAAAACCAAAATAATAATTAAAAAAAAACACAAAAACAACCCCAGAGTCTTTATATAATTTACCAAAACAAGAAACTGTCACATTTATGATGTAGAAGTAACCGCACTCATCACAATGCTGATAATTCTAAAGTTTAAGAAACCTGCACAAGTATAAACAGGTAATTTTAACAGATGTTTACGTATACTGGCAGAGTCAGATAAAGAATAAAATAAGCTTACAGAATACTCTGTTGAAAAATTCTATCCAATTATTTCATTTCATATGTATATACATCCTGGAGAAGAAACTCTGATCTGAAGTCAGCTTTGAATCTACAGAAGTCAATTTTCTATGGGATTTCAAATTTCATTTGCCAAGACAGCATAGTTAGCCGTGTTGTTTAGGGCCACACTGCGACTGCTGACTTCATTCACAACAGGCAGAAAAGCAGACGTGAAAGGAAGCAGGTTATGACAGGCCATCCTGTATTCTTCATATTGGGAATTACAGCTCCCAAAGCTGCCATCGAGAAGTGCCTCAGAAACCTTCATTAAAGTCTATTGAAACAGAAACAAAAATTATTTTTTTAAAAGTTTGGTAAATAATCACTTTAATCAAGATGCAATCTGTTAACTAAGAGAAGGCCAACAAGCCCTAGTCCAAAATAACTTCTTCCTATCTATAGTAAGTAATCACCTCAAAAAAGGAACATTTAGAAAATCAGTTCTGCAAAGCCTTAAAAAAGCAGTAAAATTCCGATACCTGAAAAGGCAAACCTGTGAAACTGTGATCACTAAAATAAAAACTAGCTCCCATATACTAAGTGCTTTCACGTGCCAGGCAGGTAGTAATCACTTCAGTTTATTATTTCAGTTAACCCTTATACCAACTCCATGACAAGGAAACTGAAAGACATGCGTTATTTGTCTAAAGTAACATAGCCCATAATCAGATTATGAGATTATGAGAACTGAGATTCAAATCCAAGTATAACTCAGAAAGTCCACTCAAGAATTATATTATAAAGACATGTTTTGCTAGATCATTCATAAGTTTGCAGAAATCAGACTTTTGAAGAATCTTTTAAGTTTTAATTTTTATTTTAATTGTTGTTCAAGTACAGTTTTCTGCCTTTTACCCCTATCCCAGCCCACCCCCCATCCCTCCCCACCTCCCTCCCATTTCCACCCCTCTTGTTACTGTCCATGTGTCCTTTATACTTGTTCCTGTAAACCCACCCCCTTTCCCCCTGAAATTCTCTTCCCTCTCCCCTCTGGTCACTGTCAGCCTGTTCTCAATTTCAGTGTCTTCAGTTATATTTTGCCTGTTTGTTTGTTTTGTTGATTAGAATCCTATTAAAGGTGAGATCATATGGTATTTGAAAAATCTTACCTTTACATTTTTATCTTTTATAGTTTCATCCAGTCTAGTGGCAATGGCAATTGCTTTCTCTTGCCTTGACTTGTCCAAAAAATACATCATTTTAGCACCTGAAATAGCATGACATTTCAAAATAGGTGAACTCCTATGGCTATATTTGATCTGATCTACACTGACTAGTGACTTATAATATGGTTTCAAGTGGTTAATCAGCAGTGGGCTGGAATTGGCTCCCTCTCTCAGGAGGCAACTGTGACATCTCTTCCCACTCCCCCTTCAGTGACATCCCACAGATAGCTTGGAGGCACAATGAAAGTATTTATATTATGTCAAAACACTACAAACCAGGCTTTTCCTGTTACAAAGAGATGGTTGTTAAACATTTAATAGGAGATCAGATTTAATACTCCCCTCCCCAGGAAATGATATAACTCAAAATGTAAACAGAGGCCACCTTGTAGCATTAATTTTTTTAAATGATACCCTAAATTAAAACATCTAAGAAACAAAGAATTACCAGAGTGTGGTAGAGGAAAAAAGGAAAATGTTTGCATATTCACTGAAGAAAATAATTCTTAAAGCTTTAAAAAAAACCCAGTTTATATTTCTCCAAATTACATGGTCCATATTCTGTGCTCATTTTACTATTGGGATTTTGTTTATTAATTTATATTAATTGTTCATTTAT